TTTTTTTTTACATCTACATTCGTTGTTCTTCATTTCTAGCCTTTGTCATCTTCATCACCTTCTATTCGGACTTTGAAGCATGAGCAACACCTCAAATGTTATTCGCATCAGGAAATTGCGTTTTGCTTGTATTAAACTAACGAGTGGGACGCTTAGGCCGTTTTTATTGTCATGTTTTGTGGGAATGCGCGGCCTCCGAGGGATGTTGCAGAAGCAACACAGGTTGTCGACGAACGTCGACAAGACCAAATGTAATATTTAAACTTATATTTTTGGTTAATGTCAAAGAACATTGTGGAAATGTTACACAAAACTTCTATTGCAGATTAGCATCGTGGTGGCACGAGGTCGGTGTGACCTACCGGTTCGACCCACCAATCGAATTCGATTGGACCCGACGCGCACTATATAAGGGGGGCCGCCAACACACCACCGCATTTCTAACATTTCGAGTTTTTGTTTCTAATCCTCTAGTATTTCTTTTCCTTGAACTTTCTGTTGCTAACATGATTTCCCTTTTTTAACATACGTTTAATTACCCAAGTTTGAGGTCTTGTGTTCGCGTGGCTGTATAAACGTTATTGTCTTATTTGTTGCGAGTATCTATCATTGAAGCACACGTCACAGTTGCTCTTGAGTTCTAGCCCTCGTCATCATCTTCGGTTCTTATTTTGCAGCACCTAAAATGTTATCCGCATCAGGAAATTGCGTTTTACTTGTATTCCAAAGCGCAATTACAGGACTTGGCAAAAAGCCAAGAGAGCTGCGCGCGACACGCGCCGCGCGGACGGATGTTAGCATAAACGAGAGCTGCGCCGCAAGTTGCATTTTGGGCGGAGTAGCAAGGAATTAGCGTGTTTCACGGTCCTGTATCTCCATTCCTGCGCATGTTAGGACGGGGAAACCGCTACGCTTCGACAGCTGGGGGCTGATAGTCACATACACCCTCAATGTGTGTGAGCGTACCATGTGTCTTTAAAGGCCGAGCCCGCGTTCATTCGATGTTCACGCCCTCCTTGGATAACGTAGCCTTGCCCACAAGGATAGGGAATGTACCAGTTTAGCAGGTCTAGAAACCGAGAGGATGGTGCCGGGAGACGTGCAACAGAATCGTCCGGGGCAGCGCCCGCGGCACGCGGCGCGTCGCGCGGCGAATGACTCAGCAGCTCACGTGCATTTGCTAGCCGATAGCTTTGCGACTGGAGCAAATGATTTACTACAGCGTACATCCGCAACATTTAGCAGTTTCATCAATGATTGAAAATCTAACGATGTTTTCTTGATAGTAACACACAATTGTTTGGCGGTTCCATAGACGCAACTTCAGGAAATAAACAATACAAAAGAAAACAAATAAGGCAGTTATTCTCCCTACGTTTTTTGATTCACATGATTCGCGCAGTCGTCAGCGTCAACATTTTTCCTGTGAGCTGCTGTAAAAAATGAGAACCAATCGTTTAAGACCCTAGTGGAATGCATGCTCTAATAAACTTTTCTATGCTCTGTGGAAAAAGGACAAAAACTCAACCGTAACTGAACACAAGACTCGATCCTGGGTGATATCAATCTTTACCGTCCTTCAATATCCCTATTCAAACGGCCAGACGCATGATTTGTCTTCTCGCCGCAAGGATGTCGCAGGCCACGCCCACCAGCTGCACCGGACGATTCTGTTGCTACACACCCGGATGGCGCCCTCCTCTTGCGAAGAGGTTGCCGCCCCGCCCACCTGGCTGTCACAACTGCTTTGGCTCAGCCTTCGAAGGTTGAGGCCGCTCTCAAAATGAGTTATGGGGCTCATATAGTAATAAGAAGGGTACCAGGTGATGTAGTAAAGAAAAAAGCAGAAAAAAATCCTGGGAAATGCCCTATATAGAACTATGCTGAAATGAAGTCATACATGCACAAGGCGAAGGTGCTGTCGCACAAGTTCCCTCTTGCGGTCTCAGTTGTTTCCCCTTATCCTTTTTCAGCATTCGTAGTGGCAGGAGTCAGTAGGAGTTGCACCATCAGGCATATTATAAATGAACATTGTGGCAGCCAGGTGCGGGCGGGGCGGCAAGCTCTTCATAGGCACAATTGAATGATTTGGACTGCAGGCTACGATATCCAGTGAGGGTAGGAACATCAAGTGGTGGTGCAAATGCGGGATCCGCCTCAAAGGTGCTCAAGCAATGTCAGTCATTCCTTTTCACTTGCCGGCCGAAGCTCTACTTATCTCGATATTGATTTCGGCATTCCCATTGAGTGTAAGGAGACATTGTGAGGCGAATAATACGATTGTTTTAGAATGCACTTACCTGCTTGGAGCCGCCCTGAGAATGCTCATAATGGAGAGCGGTACGACAGTGCTGGTCGTGTACGCACCACAATCCGGTTGCTCCGAAGGATGAGTTCTACCTGACCCTGGACGAGGCCATAAGATCGGTTCCGGAAGAGGACTATCTCACCATAGCTGGAGATCTGAATGGCCATGTTGGGAGGGACAGAAGGGGTCTAGAAAGGGTGCACGGAGGTCAAGGAATAGGGACAAAGAACGCTGAGGGAGAACGGATCCTTGACCTAGCCAGCACCTTCTTCGCCAAAAGGAGGACCCAAAAGGTAACCTACAGCAGTGGAGGGAGACAAACGGAAATTGACCACGTCCTAGTCA